ATACTGTATAATGTTGTGAAAGCTAATCTATAATGTATTGGATGTTATGCAAATTCTCTGTACTCCATATGGGGTTTATAAAGGCATGCAAATTAAAAATAGTGTTTGGAATAGGACTGAGGGGAGGGGAAAATCTGCACAATAAAATATGCGGCTCGGAGAAGAGGTGTTTATAACCTTCTCCCTATTGTTTGTGTATTCTCAGCTGCACAACGCTTTTCAAAGCAGAGAGATGTATTGCATAAAATCTCTCCAAATTGGATAGTTTTTAAATGAAATTTGAAATGAGAGCGCTGTTCTCTAAGCAATAATCCGCACCGCTCTTTCTGCTGGGGCTTGTAACGGGTGGGTAAAGGCACTCGGCTTCCACCGACTTGCGTTGCAATGGTCCAAGTCGTGAGCAGCTTCTTGTAGCGTCTTTGCCCAGGTGTCACCAGGGGCCTTGTCACAACGCAGCTGCCCAGGAGGGTCCACGGGGGTGGCATGGCCAAGACCTGGCCAGTCCCCGTCAGCAGAAACCAAGGTGCCCGACCTGCAGCACCCCAGGTATTTGTGGTGTGCCTTGGAGCGCGCTTTGATCCCGTTGAGATTTCATAGCCCTACCTATGGGTGGAGGCAAACATAGCTGCCACACAGCTGGCTTTTTACGATGCCACCAGCTCCTGATGGAGGGACTCCGTGCCCGCTGCCAGAGCCCAGCCAACAAACACGTCCTGGCTCTTGAGCCCTGTCCCCACTGCCCAGCGGCTGCGTCCAGCCTTCCCTGATTGATACTTAATTAGATTACAGCTGCTGCTTAAAAATAGCCATTTTACAGAAGCAAAATCTTGGCTGGTGTCAAGCCGAGGACTGTGCAGAGCCAGAGGAGTGATGCTGCCTCTGCCTGGCCAGCCGGGAAGCTCTGCCGGTGCAGGTTGTGCTGGCATCGCTGCCACTGGCACCAGCAGTGCTCTCCACCTCCATGGCCTCGGTAACACCGTGCTGGGTCACACTGATGCAGTCCATGGGGTGTTCAGCTCAGGAGCTCTAGAACATGCTCATGTTTCTCCCACCACCCACCTGGGCTTGGCCAGGCACAGCCTGTCCCCCCGTCCATGGACTGCCGCCCTCCAGGGTGGCACCTCGCGCCCACTCTCCTCCCAAAGAGCACGAAGCATGTCTGAGGGCAGCACTTTGCAAAGGCAGCTGCCAACAAGTCCCACGGCCATCTCGAAGGCAGATTCTTGGCAAGTGGGGGAACAGAACTTTTCTGCACCAGCTGCTCTTTCCACTATCTCCCTGCCCCAGGCAGGCAGGGCTCAGCCACTCCTGCCACTCGAGGGCTGTGAGCCCTCCCAGCCTGTGGACATTTCCCTAACTGCCACCATGAAATTAAGCTTGTAATTAAGGTGTTTTGTACAGGTTGTGCTGCACTTTCTCCTGAGTTTCTTCCACTCTGCAGAGTCATGTGGTTTGGGCAGGGGTGGGAGAAAGGCAGGGAGCAGCGAGAGCGAGAACTGAGGCTGGCACCGGCGCAGCCGTGGGCTGAGCTCCTGCGTCTCCTCTGCTGACAGCAGACGTGGATGGACCCACCGTGGGGCACGTCGCAGGGCAGCCATGTGGGTCTCTGCCTGGTGTCACCCCGTGCAAAGTGGCAGAGCATCGTTGAGGATAAGGATCCATCCCTTTCCTCCGCACCGGCTGCCCCGCACGCCCATGGAGCGGGGATCAAAGCTGGTCAAGCAGGAGCAGGAGCTGAACATGTCCCTAACGCAGGGAGCCTGTCTCGTGGAAGCAGGCAGGAAAAACCCCAAGACATCACACAAGGAGGAAATGGAAATAACAAAACCCAGCTGAGGGCTCTTCAGGTGCCGCTATCCCACAGGGAAGGGATGGATGAGATTGGGTTCCCCTGGGCTTGCGGGCTCTTAGCAGCACCGCAGCCAGCAGCTCCCTTCATCCTGACAGCATTTCCCACCCTGAGTGCTTTCAGCTGGCATTTCCACGTTGGGTAGTTTGCTTCATAAAGGTCCACATTCGCTTATTTTCTGCTGCGGTTCCCTGGACAGGCGGAGCTGGGAACACAGCAGCTCCAGGGGCGAGCTGGTTCCTCCGAGCAAACCACCACCAGCAGGGAAGCAGCCGTGTGGGCTGGCAAAAACTCCCCCCGTGCCGTCCTCCCTGGGGCTTTCTGCTTTGCAGAGCGGAGCACACACAGCCCCCCGGGCACAGGGGGCTGCCAGGGGATCCGGTGCCGCCGGCACGGGTTTTCCATGAGAAGCCACAGTTGCCCGCTGGCGGGGCTGGCTGTCTGTTAGTGCAATACAGGGGTCCTGCTCGATCAAACCCACCGTAAGGGCACAGCTACTGTGAGCGCCTGCGGCCGTTCCAAACTGGGGAATTGGACTCTCCTTGTTTCTGCTGCCTTCATTTAACAGTGGGTGCCGATTACTCAAAGCGATATGGGCAGGACCTGGTAATCTAGAGTTGCTCTAGCGTTAACTTAAGGGGATGATCCAGTTGCCTGCAGTGTAAATACTTTGTGGCCAGGAACCCTGCTTTATCGCTTTGTATAGTTTTAAAGTAGTTTAAAGATTGAATAACATAAAATAACATAATATAATGTTATTTATGTTATTTCCCACGTGAAGAACTCCTGTAAACCTTGCAGTATTGAAACTCAGTGAACAAGGCATCTTAGACAAGCTGAAAAACAAATGGTGGTACGATAAGGGTGAATGTGGAGCCAAGGACTCCGGAAGTAAGGTCAGTCGCTGAAGGTCTTTTTGTACTGATTAGCAATCACATTTTGACCCACTTGTTTGTTTATACAAAGAATGGCTTTCAAAAGTTGGTATTTACATTTTGAAGGTTGAAAGAGTAGGAAAAAAATAGTTAAGTCTCTGAACGTGACAGCGTTTTTTTCTTTTATGCAGTAACAGACTGTAGTTGTAAGTATGTTTTACTATTTGAGTATTTTGCTAGAAAAACATGGAAAGAGAAGCCCCCGAAGCCTCCCAAGCTGGTACCTTCATTTAAACGTGCAAGTTTCAGCACGGTCAATGTGTATTATTCAGGCCAGCATCTTTTCTTATTTTTAGTTCTATTGAAAAAACACATTTTTGTTTCAAAATTGTGACTTAGATTCTCTACATGTCAGTTTGGGAAACAATCACATGCTTGCAAAGGGTGGACAATTTCAGGACAGACTGGTGATAAGGAAAAAAACCTGCCCTTCCAGCCCTATTTCCCAATTCGGTTTGAAATTGGTTTGATTTATATTAAAAAAAAGTCTAGAAATACGATTGGTAACTCATTACATAAATAGTGTATATTCTTTTTTATTCTGCTTTGAACCATTTTGCTGCTGTCCTGCCCTGTCTCACGCCAGCCGTGCTGCAGGGCCCACCCGCCACCAGCAGCCCCTTTAGACCCCACTGGTGATCCCACCCCTGAGGTGACAGGTGGATCAGCCCGGTAGCTGCACACTTAAATTGGAAGAAATATTTATTTACACCATTCAGTTAAAAGAAAACACAGAGGATGTATTTATTTTTTGAATGTTCATAGAGCCATCGAGGGAAAAAACACTGTAGATACGCTGGGCTGCTTGGAGTAAAGGACATCTTCAAAGGCACCAAGAGGAGGAGAAATCCAGCTCCAGCTGAAATCGGTCGCAGTTGAGTGCCTGACTCCCCCGGAGCCTTTGGAAGTGCTCTCTGTAATCATCCACACAGAAAACTATAATTTGAAAGCACCCTCTCAGTGTCAGAGGACAATTTGAAGTTGCATTGAAGCCAATAATAAAAATTCATTGATTTCAGCTGGGCTGGAAGTTGCTTAGGGCACAACCCTGTAGCTGCTGTATGAGATAAATTTGGGATTGTGGGACCTCTGAACGCACAGCAGCCACAGAAAGAAACTGTAGCTAAAAAGAGGTGTAAATGGGTAATATCTTGAGTTTAAAAGGCAGGAGGCTGTTTGCTACAACTGCATCCAGCCAAACTGCCTGTGAAACACACAGACACTGACAAGACAGACAAAATAGATCCTATTTTATTCTGAATATGTGCAAGTTTTACTGTCCCTGGAGATACTCATAAACCCAGCGAGTGTCTTCCCTTGGCACAGCTCTTTGCTGCCTGTCGTGCCGGGCTGGCAAGGCACGGCGTGACGTGGCGTGGCATGGCATGGCACGGCATGGTATGGCATGGCACGGCGTGGCACGGCAGCCCAGCCAGGGCCGTGCTTGCCGGCACTGGTTCCTGCACCCAGCCAGCCAGCCCGCACAGCAGCAAAAGGGTTGCAGCTCTATTTAAGCTGATTACAGAATCCTGGTTTTTAACAGCGCAAGCCTTCTCCCCATCTGACATGTACTGAAGGAAGGTAAACCCCAGCCAGCATTTTTTGTGTCACAAAATTTTTATTTATTTTATTCAGTAACTCTTCCCTCGGTCACCAAAGGTGCTAGTTTAGCTTAGGGCTCTGCTCCTCGACCTTAAAGTAGCTGACCATCTTCCTAGGGTGGTTTTTTTCCCCCTGACTGTTGAAAAAAAAGGTAGATGAGTTTAGCAGGATCTCAATAATTTTATCGACATTCACCAAAGCCAAGTGCGTAGTGGTTTGGCTTTTTCTAGTTCACTGATGGCCTTCTGTAAAACGTGCTGGTTTAGGCAGCCGCTGCTTTCCCCATCAGAGCTTTCCCAAAGTGCCTTTGGCACTGGAGATGCTCAGCCATAGACAGGTTTGCTCCAGGATGCTGAAGGCCTGGGGAAGCCCATGGCCAAAAAGAACCACCTCTCGTCGCCTTGGAGTCAGCCAGGGCTTCGCCCACCAAAGGGTGGGGGACAGAGCGGTCGGGCTGCCAGGGACGGGGGGGACAGCACTGACCCACGAGTGGGACACTGAGCACCACGAGTGTAGTTATTGCAGCTAGGAGTAAGCGCAAAGTAGCCTGTTGTCTGTCTGTCTGTCTGTCTGCTCCTCGCAGCGGAACTAACGGCGTGGCTCGTTTCTCTTAGGACAAGACGAGCGCGCTGAGCCTGAGCAATGTTGCCGGGGTTTTCTATATCCTTGTCGGCGGCCTGGGCTTGGCCATGATGGTGGCACTCATCGAGTTCTGCTACAAGTCGCGGGCCGAGTCCAAGCGAATGAAACTCACCAAGAACACGCAGAACTTCAAACCCGCTCCCGCCACCAACACCCAGAATTACGCTACGTACAGAGAAGGCTACAACGTGTACGGCACAGAAAGTGTGAAAATCTAGGGGTACGGCTGCGGGCCGGGAACCAACACCCTCTGGGTTTTCCTTCTTTCTTTTTATTTTTGAAGCTGTGTGTGATGTTTTGGTGTCTGCATCAGCTGCAAAAGGGCTTTTGAAACCTCGTCTGGGGCGGTCTCAGAGTAGAAGTGGTTTAATTTCTTCCCTGAACAGAAGCTTGGTGCCATCCTGTATCACAAACAGCGATAACTGGCTTCGTGCTGAACTGAGGAGCTGCTCTCTCCAGCATTGGGCTAGTTCAGTACATAAAAAAGTATTTGTTCATTGCTTTAAAAATTACTGTAGTCAGAATTTGCATCTCTCTCCCTAGTGACATCCACCTCTTTATTTTTTTAAGCTATAATCAGGTCAGGTAAGTGCTTTTAGGAAGTCTCAAAAAAAATCTATAATAGAACAAAAAGATCTATGCTAGGAAGCATGATTTCTAAAGCATGAAAAGTAGAGATGAATTGCTGCAAATTACTCTAGAAAAGCCTTTGTAGCCCATCGCCCGCAGACTGGGCCTCTCCCCAGGCTGAGCTTCCAGGCAGTGATGAAATCTTTCTGGTTTTATTATAGATCCTCACCCTGACAGCATGCAAGAGGAGAAGCAGCAGAGAATGTGGCTACTTCATGGATTCGGACCACCTGAGCCAGTTGTACTCTCGCCGAGGTGTCAGGCATGACACGCATTGATGATGGTGCAATGTACTTTTAATAGGAAAAACTGATATTTTTTTCCTTCAGTGCCTTATGGAAGACTCTGAGACTCACAACAATGCAAACCATCACCGAAATATTCTTGCTTTGCTTGAAAGAAGAAAAAGACAAAGAAAAAAGAGGAAAGAAAATGAGAAAAGAAATTAAGAAATGAAAATAAGGAAAGAAGAAAAGAAAAGAAAAAAGGAAAAGAAAAAAGAAAAGAAAAGAAAAGAAAAGAAAAGAAAAGAAAAGAAAAGAAAAGAAAAGAAAAGAAAAGAAAAGAGAAAAGAGGAAAAGGAGAAAAAAAAAGAGAAAAGGAGAAAAGAGAAAAAAAGAAAAAAGAGAGAAGAGAGAAAAACAGAGAAAAAAAAGAGAAAAGGAGAAAAGAGAAAAAAAGAAAAAAGAGAGAAGAGAGAAAAACAACAGAAAAAGAGAAAAAGAAAAGGAAAAGACTGGTAACAAGATATTAGTATGTGGGAAAAAAAATCTTGTAAAAAAATCAGTGCAACAAAAGCCATTCTTTGATACCACTGCACAGTAAAGGAACTTGTGTCCTGAAAGCAAACCGCAGCCGGTTTCATCAGCCACCCCGACCGTATCAAATTATGAAACTCCTCCTGACTCAAAGCCTCAGAAATCTGCTGCGTGCGAACACGGACTGGCCTGTCACTGCTTGTATGAGCTGATGTCAAGACGTTTCAGAATTTACTTACCAGTGGTGTGACTTTTTTTTTTTAATTTTTCTTTAAACTCTCCAGCTAATTTGAGCAATTCTGTATAGCAGTAAAAGGTGTAACGCCTGAAGAAAACAATCTGTGGATTAAAACCAGTTCAGGTCAATGACTGTGAATCTGTAAATCCAAAAGAAAGTAATTTGTGGAACTGTATGTCTTGCTTCCAGATCAGTAAATTAATTCCTTGACAAGGTAACTAAAGTGTGGGCAGAAAATACTGCATTCCTTTTTTTTTTTTTTTTTCTCTATCATCAGGCATACCTACAGGTGCTTTATTAAAATGACATTGGGTGGCTTTTAAAAGAAAAAAAAAAAATACAAGAAAAGCTACTTGCTGTTTAGGTTCAGACCATATATCTCTTTTCTTGCTGTGCATTTGCATTTTAATTCTCTGTTTAATATCAAGCAATGAAGCAAGAGAAGCGCGGGTTAGTTTTTCCCAGGCCTGCTTCCGCTCCCCCCCGGTTCTCTCGCGAGTAGCACCGTGCTCCGCTAACGCTTCCCGGGAACGGCCGGTTTAAAAGAGAAGTAAGGGAAGAGGCCAGTAACTCCAGTTAGAGCTGCAGTTCCAGAGTAACACTAAGCGATCTAACACGACTCCTGCTAGTACCGTTCTATTTTATCAGCTCCTGCCAACTCTTGTTCCGTGGCTACTGGTGAGAGGATGCTCC